CCACGCAGCCATGCCGTTGTGTGTTTACCGAGCGATCGCACTCACCAGCTGTGGGACGAACTCCCCCGAAGCCGTCGTCAGGTTGACTGCGAACACGTGATCCCTGCGGAGGTCAAAGCACAGAGTCAGCCTCAGCGATGATGCACTTCCTATCAGGAACACTGACAGCTGTTCATTATTGATTATTCTGTTGATTCTGTTTCTGATAAAACATATTCAGTGATGAAGTCTCGGCCGCTCTCAGGCCCTCTTCAAAGGCTCGCCCCAGATTCTTGCGTGCTCGCCGTGTCCTAAAAACACGGATCCTCATGTATGTGCTCTGCACCACGGTGAGGGATCTTAATAATACTCAAGCTCCAAAGGGCTATTGTGATACTCCAAAAAACTGACGTAAGAACTTCTGTCGCACTTTCTACAAAGACCTGCTGCGTGGCACAAAGTCCTCGTGACTTCATGGATGAATATTTTAATGAGCAAACTAACAGCGAAGCTAAACGTCAGCCGGGCAGGCTGGAACCATCCGGAGGCCAAAGTACGTCCGATTGGTCACTTCCTGTTTCCAGAAATATTCATTCTGCTGTTTATGTGACAAACGGGAACCAAGATCCTCTCAGAGTGCAGCAGGAAACACTGGCAGACGTTCACCTGGGTAAAGGTACGTTCATGGTCACGAGTCATTCCTGGCTGTTGCTCTCTGAGCTGGATTTGATTTTCAGGATCAACAATAAAACCAGTTTATGGACAGAAAACGTGAAAAATGTCTCTTTGATTTCCAGCCTCAGGTTTAAACTGACAGGAACATCAAATCATCATTTAAAGAGACTAAAACGATTTAGAGCCAATAGGAACACTTTGATGTTCACGTTGAGCCAGCTGACGACTCACTGCTGCAGTGCAGCGTGCAGCTACGGGAAACTCGCTATCGTTCGTGGGATATTTATGCTGCATTATGTCAATAAAACAGAGCCTGTGGGCGTGTCCAGACGGCAAAATCATCTTTGATGATGTCACTAAAAACATGTGTGTCCTCACAGGTCACGTTTACTAGTTTACTGCTGAAAACACACAAGTGTGCGTGCATGTGCGTGCGTGC